AAGCTATGCAATAGCTTAAAAACTTTGAAGAAATATGAAAATGAGGCGCCCTTAACCGCGTCTGCGCGTCCTGCCATCGAATAAGTGACGAAAACACAAAGAACACGCCGACTCGCAGCTGCCTCGTCGCGACCCCCGACTCAACATAATGCAAGGCATATTGAACTACTCGTAATGCAACATCATACGCACGTTTGTTGTCGTAACCGCCACAGCGAATGTTTACAAGCGGAAATATGCGATCGTGACTATCTATCGATACTAGTGCGACTGATTCCAGAATCGTTTCTCAAAACAGTGAATGTTTTATTTTGCAGCGGGCCGTGTACCGCCTCGAGCGTCATTATGGAGGGCACATTCTCGTCGCTGTCGCGGTGAAAGCGGCCCCTGCGCACCTCCCCCCTGCCTCCCCCCCTCTTGCCCCGCGGCCGCACGCCGTACACATCTACTTGCTCGTATCAGCGGCCAGCCCAACGTTAACACAACTATTCATTACGAGCAAAATAATGTATACTTCGAATTACAGTTAAGAAGTCAATTTTCCTTTATTATCACACCTATTGCTTTCTTCTTTCATACTAATTTAGTTGGTACAAAGTTTCTTACGTACGTAGGTTGAATTAAAACTGAACAAATTACTTCAATACTTAGTTTTCAAAATGCCTATGAATATATTATATAACTGTTCTTTTTGCTAACATTATATTCCGTACTTCTATCTATGTTATGCTATAATGCACGTGTGCACAAATTGGACAACGGGTATAGTGAAACGAGTAAACATTAATAAAGTTATGGTTAACAATAAAATGCAAAGTATACAACATCTTTACATACCACCGTATAAGAGTCCCATTCAGGACGCATATAAACGTACACAGAACACAGACACAGTCGCGTAGGTACCTTATCTTTTCCAAAAAAATAAGATACGTGAGATAGTACCTACTAGCTAGCAGCTATACAACTTTTTGTTTTCATCTCTATATATAGTTTTGGCTTTACAGGGCGGCAAAGCTACTACAAGCTCACGTACTATAATAGTTGTGATTTTATGTGATTTTCTCATGACTATAATTATTCTGTTCGTGTGTATATGACTGAACTCCTAAAGTTCTAAACGGCTGGATTGATTTATATGAAATTTTATGTGTTTGACCAATAGGTGGCGCTGTTATCGAGATTTAGAAAACACCCGCGTGCAGCTAAAGTGATCGATAGTTCGAGATGAAATTGTAAAGTTCATTGGCACTATAACTACATCATCCAATATAAAATAAAAAACGTGCCTTCATTTTTGTTGCAAATATCGGAACAAAATACAATTATCACCTCCCGATAAACTTTTTATTTCAAGCAATTTTGTCTTGTAAATAGGTTTCCGTTTTTTGTAAATGTGTTGTTTAGAATTTAACTTTTACTTTCCTTCTAATATACACAAGACAGTGGACTGGCCCGCCCACGAGCGGGCATGTTGCTTTCGAAAAAAACTGTACCGAATCAACAACGCTCGCAACACCGCGGCACATTCACTCGTAGCTCATTTCCTTCTGCTGACTTTTTACAAACTGAAAATATCACATAATCTACGTGTTTAGACCCCCTTGTGGAATTGTGGATAGACCTATGTAATATTATACTCTAAAGAACCTTTTTACTGGAAACGAGGTATTCCATCTCAGTCCTCAAGAGTGACAACGCATCTGCATTTTGACTCTTAATCGAGGATAATTATAGATGTCCATGAGCCACAACATCATCTTACTATCAGGTGAACTGTGCGCTCGTTTGTCACCCTCATTCAATAAAAATTAATAACTATGCAGTGACTGCTCGCGTCGTCGCAAAATGTCGGCTATCGGCATTGAATTACCTCAGCTTGCCTTCAACGGACGCAGGAATTCCAGCCAACCAGTTCGTCGAGTAAAAACAAAGCCAACTCGTAGGTACTATTTATAGCTCAACCTCACACTTGAGACATATTCACACCGCGGCTTCATTTTATGACCAGTTGAAAAGCTAAAACTCAATGAATAGTGCCAGTTATCATGGTATCACAACGTACAGTAGGTCTGCAATTAATTTTATTAAAAGAACGTAAAAGGTTAATGAACTTGAAACTACGAATAGCTTGACGTAGGTCGACTGGACCTTAAACTATTTGTCTAATAACGACGACCTCGAAATGGTCATTGGTCAAAAGAGCACCGAATAAATGAGTATTTCCGGTAATCTACAATTAATAAAAAAATAAAATTGAAATGTCTGTTTGCTATGTCAAAACAACAGCTTTTTACTTAATGCATATGAAAGTAGATACGGTACTTAAAAATACAATTTTTAAAATTTTTGCCTGACTGTCTACCAAAATTCTTGACCGACTGACGGAACTTTCACTGGCAACTTGCAAATAGCTGATGTTATAAAGAGTAACGTAGGTTAATTTTATTTTAGAAAAAGAATTAACGTAATAAATGCACGCGAAAGTCGTGGGGAACACCTAATTGTAAATACTTCTATCGTTTTTGTATCGCATATTTTATAAGCCGAGCTACGATAACAAAGGTCTGTTTCTTAAAGCTAAGGCTGTGAATGAATGAGTGTTGTTGTCGTCCTTTCTCGATGTACTTGTACTTCCTGTTAGTGGCCAAGAATGCGCATTATATCCATTTACTTACAGCGGGACTTTCGTAGAGCGAGCCGCTGCCGCATTGTTCGCGTCGCGTCGATAACCACGAATTCCTGTGCGTCAACAAAAGGAAGCCATTATGTGGGCTGCAGTAATTAGTTATCTGTCGCAGGTCACAAGGTCGCGCGGCTCCCGGGAAGTCGCCGCGTTGCTTCTTATCTTCGTTTGTTACTTAACATGCCTGTACTGTGCCTACTGTTTCACAACAATAAACTAATTAATGAACTGCGGAGCACGGTCAAGGAAATTAGAGAATCATATTTAGCCGTGGAACTTCTTTTGTGTCCTAACATTCCGTATGGATTATTATCTTTTCCTTAACTTTTCCCCACCCAAGATCATTTCGAATGAAATATTTGCATTTGCTTTGAAGCGTTTCAATACCGTCGGAGATGCAACGCACCTGCATATTATTTTATTTCTCATTGTTAAATAAAATTTTCCTCGTATATTCTAATGTAGCATGAGTTCATAAGGCATTTTACGTACCTAAATAAATCAAACACACTAACAAACATCCGATCCCAGATCGAGTAGAAAACTACTGCGACACCGACCTAGAAGACTCAGAACTACAATAGCTATTACCGAACTTGCAGTCGCAAGAAATCTAGGGTAATAAAGAAACTTTTTTCGAAATGTAATTATTGATATTTTTTACTTTATAACTTTGAGAAAATTCTTCCCATATTTATTTATTTATTTTAAAAAGTGAAAACGTTGCAATGAAATGTGTCTCGTCATTGTTCCGACACGCCAGCCTATTTTATTGCTCGCGTACATTTTGCATTTACGACCTCGACCTCGTTAGGTCATTGACATCTTTACGTAGTAGAGCCACGCTTCAGCTGTATTGTATAGTTGTAGCACGAATGTGTCGGCTCGACCGGGGCAGGACCACGCTCTCACAGAATACCAACGTAAAATAGCAGCGTAATGTTATTGTGTTTCGTATGGTGAGTGTAGAGAACCGGTGACTACCGGTGATTCTAATCAATCCTCTGGGGTAACAACAAATTTGCATTTTGAACCTTAGCATTCACTTACCATCAGGTGGACTCTGTGCTCGTTTGTCATCCAATGCCATAAAAAAAGTAATAATAATAATACCCATTTATTTCTCCACGTACTCGGATACATTTTTATCATAGATAAATAAAGCGTTTTAGTTGTTGTGGGAGACAGGAACCCGAGCTAGGGTGTACTGTGCGCCTGGCTTTACTACTCTTCGAAGATAACACATAAACATGTAGTAAGCGTATGTTAAGAGGGAATATAAGATTCAAGTATCGTCATTAAGTACAAATTGTCATTGTTAATCGATTAAAACTTTATAGTTTAATGTACGCGTACGTTTGTTTATAACAATGCTTTATTTATACTTATTTATACATACACTCAGAGGTATGGCAGGTCGTAACAAATTCCGCGCACACCGCTTCATCACGCCATCGCATCGGCCTGATTGCTTCAACATTAAACTACCTTACTATCTAATAGGGCCGTCGTGCGATGGCGCGGTTGAAACAGTTTTCTCGTGTACATGTGCGCTATAAATAATAGATAATCAATCGAATCTCCAAGTGATGTTTTACTGCTATTTATTATACGAATCGCTTCATTCTTTGATATAATAGTTTACTAAGTTGTTCGGATCTACTATATTGAAGAATTAAGCGACGAAATATAATGATTCTTGCAGTTTATAAGGAAGTTACTACAGTAATATTTAATTAGTCTTGTATCATATAAACAGCGTTACCTTGTACCTTTCATTTCCTACAGCGACATTATATATTATACCTAACTAGTGTATAATTAGGGAACTGCGTTTGTTATTTTTTTGTAGAGTTGCCATATGCATTTTAAATATATTTTGACACGTTATTAATAAAGCAGGAAGGAATACTAATTATGAATAAAAAATTATTTCAAATAATTAAACTTTACGGTTATAAATTTTATTCAAAAACATAAATAACAGTATGTACACATACATTATGTTTGCGTTGTATGCAATAATTGATATAAACATATATCTAGTCACACAATTAAGTGAGCGAGGCAGTGGCGCGCGCTCGCTCTCGCAAAAGATATCAACGCGCTCGCGTCGCTCTTTGTTACCGGGAAAATTATACGAGCGTGCGGTCAATTGTCACTGTTTCCTTTATACATCGACAGCCACCAGCCAGTCGAGCGAGCGAAACGTTACGTCAGTTCAGTTCATCGATGTTCAACACACATACAGACACGTATAGAAATGTACACGAGGGGCTCGGCGCCCCGAGTCGTAGAGTCCGTGTGTCGCGGGTCAGCACACCGTCTCCATGGGGAGGCGTGCGGGGGCGGAGGGTGGGGCAGCGGGGGCCGGGGCGGGGGCTGGGGCGGCCGTAGTGTGCGTGAGCGACTCGCCGCACGAGGGCAGGTGTGAGGAGGAGTGCGCGGCGTGGCGCGCGTGGCGGCCGCGCCGCGCGCACAACGCCGCCGCTGCTCGCTTGGCGGCCGCCCACGCGTGCGGCTGGCAGCCCGCCACCAGGAATATGAACAGCCCCTGCAGTGCGTTCAGCAGATCTGTAGCGTACCACAGGTACGCGGGCCCGCCCGCCGCCCACGATATCACATCCGCGCCCCACGTCACGCCCATCACCACCACCAGCTTGGCGCATACGCGCCCCAATGCCGCCCTGCAACAGAACATTTGCTTACTTTTTTGACCCAATGTATCAAAGCACGTAAAGCTGTAGGTTCTGCGCCTGATCGCTCCCGGTCGTATCGGATTGCATTTCCATCGGACATGAGAGTGAGGAAACGGAGAGTGCACTTATGCTTGCGCATTACACTCTGGCTCGGGCGCTGTAACCTTACCCTGCGCAGATGGCTAGTCACAGTTAAAACGGGTGACATTATTATTATTATTCAGTGTAGTAACACATAATATACAAAAAACAATACAAAGTTTTTTTTTACATACAGTCATACGAAATTTAGGCTTCTACTTTATATTTCTAACATCTATTTTAAAGTAGGATGTAAATCACGCACAGTAATGGATGCAACTGTACCATGATAATTATTAAAAAAATAGCGTTTGTTCGATATACTCAACTATTTAATGGTACGATATGAACCTATCCTTTAACATTTTGTTCTTCTCATAACTATTTTACCACAGAGATTTCTAGAAATTATTTGGCGTTAGAGATATTATGATAAAAGTCGTCTGGAATAGTTATGTGGTATCATCAGTTACGTCACACGAGATGACAAATAAATAAATAAATGCTTTATTTCTTTAAGATGTTTGTAACATAAACCAAATAGTAGATGGGTCTTGCTCATAGTATGTTCACAAAACACCTGTGTCAGAAGTCCCTGCTCTTCCTTATCTATAACAGTCTTAAATAGGATTTCCTATTTTAGATACATTGATAAAATTAAACTAGAAATCATATGTATCAGTTATGACTTATGAATCTTCAAGCATTAGCCGCGGTTTAAAAAAGAAAATTAATATATAACTTGCGCGTATTTAAATGTAAGCGCAAATGATATGGGTGATGAATGGTGAAGTGTGAAATTTATACTGTATTTATAAGGTATATAAAGTTATTAGCCCACTACGTGCCACTCCTAGGCACAGGCTCCACGCTGCTCAAAGAAATTTAATGCAAAGAAAATATATCAATAAAGATTAGAAGAATGTAGAATTTGTATGACACCCACCTCTCAGATGTGGACTTGACCTCGTCGCGGCGCCAGAGGCCGCATGTGAGCTGGCGCGTGGTGGATACGAAGAGCGCAAGGTTGACAAGCAAGAGCACGCCCACCGGCCCGAAGAAGTAGACGAGCACCTCCGCGTCACCGTAGAACCAGCAGTGGCGTACTGCGAAGCGCGGGCGCAGGTAGCCGGCGGTAGTGTCGGGCGGGAGGTGGTCGAGCAGCGCGCCCGCGCCCGCCACCAGCAGTGGGGCGCCCCACGCGTACACCTGGTACACGCGCAGTCGGCACGCTTCCTGTCCACGCTCCAGCGACGTCGGCCGGAAGTCCCTGCCGCCACACACACACCATCACCCTCACTCACGTGGCCACATTGCAAGCGGTCACACCACCGCTTTTTTATAGAATGAGGGTAAAAACAGTCCACCTGGTGGTAAGTGGATACTGTGGAATACATCCTCAATTGAGAATCAAGATGCAGATGTGTTGTGACCCCTGAATATTAAGATGGAATGGAGCGTTTTCAGTTAAAGGGTCTATACCTTTCCTATTGGAATGTTTATCTTCATCGACAGATAAATAAATAGATAGCTCGACAGATAACATTTTATTGTACACCAAAAATATTTATAAATGGGAACAAACGAAAAAGGGGCAAAAAAATGTGGTTCAATAGGCGGTTTTAAAACGATTTCTTCTGGACGACCTTTTCAGATACAACGTCTCTTATTAAAGTTGTTACCACGTATACCGTGATGAATATGCCCATAAAGTAAATGATATAATTAGCACATTCTTATAAACACAGAAGTAGATTAAAAGAAACAGAAACAGAAACTTTTGTATTCAATGTAGATTATAAGCAATACTTATTGAAAGTCACTTTTTTAATTTACCACTGGTTCGCAAAAAAAATCTCTGTCCTGGGAAGAACCAGCAAGAAACTCAGCGGGACCATCTTTTTTTTTTTCAAATAATAACAATATAAGACAAATTAGAAATAGATTGGTAGCGATCACCCTTTACCAGGGGTTAGACTGATATAATATATCTCATAATTTACAACCTCCAACAAATTAGTCCAAATAGCGTTCATTGGTTTTGGTCGATTCTTTTTACAGAATTTATTTGCACGGCTTATAAAAATTCACTGTTGAACACGAGCCTCCGCTACAGATGACCAGACAGGGGGAATTTACCATAGTTGCCACGCCTGGCAGGCGGGTTCACAACCGCAGTTTTTTTATTAAGCTGTCATCAGGAATATAAATTACTGTTTTAATTTTCCTCTGTCGCCTCTCACGACACCCTCAGGACGACACGGGGCAGCGGGGACTCTTGTTACACCACCACTACACAGGATAGTTGAAAATAAAACACAATTTCTTTTAATGTAAATTATTGTTTTAAAAAAGTAAGAATGACAAACAAGCATACAATCCAACTGATAGAAAATGTGTACCTAGTGGTCCGCAGACACCTACATCTGTCATCGAATAACAACTCTCGTGACTCGTAACCAATAAAAATGATTTTCGGTTTCTACACTACTACACAAAACACACTGCTATTTTACGCTGGTATTCTGTGAGAGCGTAGCCCTTCTCCGGTCGAACCGACCCAATCGTGCTGCAACGTGGCCCGTACAAAAAAAAACAAAAATAGTAGAGTTTCTTACTCTGCTCGCCCAAAGTTTCAAAACATTGTCATCGTCATCATCATTAGAATAGAATACAGTCGTTCACAAGTCCACTGCTGAACATAGGCCTTCCCCAAGGAATGCTACTTAGCGCGGTCCTGAGCCACCTGCATCCATCGACTTCCTGCATGTCCTACCAGGTCGTCACTTCATCTAGCAGGGGGTCGCCCTACACTCTGCCTACTTGCACGTGGCTGGCTACTTGTACTGGATGACTGGCGGTCCACCAATTTTGCGATTTAAAAGTTTTCTTCCTCGCGCGACTTACTTGTGAAATCGAATACCACCAGAGATTTTTTCGGACCAATACGACATAGGGACCTTCAAGAAAAGAGCCTGCTCCTTTTCAAGAGGCCGGCAAAGCATCTGTAATCCCCCTGGTGTTGCAGCTGTTCATTGGCGGTTGTAATCACTTACCATCAGGTGAGCAGTATGCTCGTTTGCCCCCTCTCCTATATAAAAAAAAACTTGAGATTCCTTTTCCCCATCAGTTGTCGGTTCTTCGAACTATATGTCCGGCCCATTGCCACTTCACCTTACTAATCCGTTGGGCTATATCGGCCACTCTGGTTCTACTGCGGATATCCTCATTTCTAAGTTTATCACGCAGAGAAACCCCGAGAATAGCCCTCTCCATAGCTTGCTGAGCGATCCTCATACGGTAAGTGAAGAACTACGTCTCAGATTCAAATGTCATCACTGGCAAAACGCACTGGTTGCACAATCTCGTTTTCAGGTTTTGAGGTATACCTGACGAGAAAATGTGTCGCAATTTTCCGAACGCTGCCCAGCCGAGTCTATCAGTCGATTGACCTCTCGGTCGACGTTGGACTTACCCAGCCGGACTGTTTGTGTTGCATACGAAGTGAAGAAAGTGGTAAGTAGAGCAAGATTCTCATTTTAATTTTAAAAAGAAATTATAAATAAATGAAAATGCGTAAGGTGTTGTCACCCTTGAGAACTAAGATGGAATATCTCGTTAGCATATAAAATTTGCGCAACAATTGTTGTTTTGACACCGGTATTCTAAGAGAGCGTGCGCCTTTCCCGGTTGAACTGTTCCATACGTGCTGCAGCCGTAACACGCTGTAGAAGCTTGCTTCTCAAGAATATATTATTTTAATAAACCTTATATCATTTAACACTATTATAAAGCCCGTTTTCAATACTGGACGAAGAAAAAATTACTTATAGTATTGAATTTATTCATTATCATTAATATTTCCAAAACTTAAATCAGTCAAAAGTTCATTGATGGTCGTATAAAACTACATTTAATATCACGTACCATAACTTTGAACGACTTTTTAATAAAATTTCGTTAAGCACTCGATGTCTATAAAAAAATGTATGAATTTTACATCTTTTGTGTTGAGAGAAAAGACTAATGATTTATAATTTACTGAAAACTTTGTAGCAACATTAAAACTTAAGTTTAATTAAATTAAGTTACAATCGGATAGATAAGCTTCAAATTATATTATATTCGTTGATAAATTGCTATAGATGGGTTTACCAAACTTTTATATTCCATTTGTTTTTTATATTAAATAGTAACCACAAGTACTCACCGGAAAGTCCACCATATGTTGAAGCACATTGTGTTCAGCCAGAAGAACGCGGACAGGAACAAGAAGTGCATACACACAGCTGCACCGCACCACGTCGCATCAATCAACAGCATATGCACAAGAGGAAACGAATCATTCAGATTAGTGTGTGGGCTCAGAGCCACGGAAATCATCGAAGAAGGACGCTCACCGATCACTTGGCAGACGGTGGGTGGCATGCGATCGCCGGCCAGCTGCGTTGCAGCGAGCAGCACGTCGCCCAGCATGAGCGCGGCCACGTAATGCGTCTGGCACCGCCAGTGTAGCGCATGGTGCGCAGCCGGCAGCGCGAAACCGGCAGCCAGCGTGGCGGCGAGGAAAGCGGCACCCACCGCCAGCCCAGCGCCGTACAGCGCATGGTGCGCCGGGCCGCCCGCCCCACGCGCTCGAGCCGCACCCTCGCACGCCAGCACGCGCGCGCCCGTCTCGCCCGACACCGCCTCCGCGCACCACGCGCCACCCGCCAGACGCGCCGGCCCGCCCGCCCCTCGTAGCTGCAGCGCGCCGCCCTGCTCCAGCGTAGCACCACTGAGCGCACCCGCCTCTGCATACCGTGAGCCTTCCACGCACGCCGGCCACCCGAAGCCCACCGCGCTGCCGTTGGCTAGAACCCGCAACTCGGCAAGCGCGGCGGCCGCGCCCTCCGCGTCCTCAACGCAGTGGGCTCCGTCGAAGCCGTGGCTCTCGGCGCAGCACTTGCTGAGCATTCGGGGCACATCTTCGGCACAAACAAGGGCGCCGCCGACGTCCGCACAGTATCGTGAGGGCGGCAGTGCGTGCGTCGTCCCTCGTACTAGTAGCGAGCCGTTGTTAGCAAGCAGCGCGTACGGCGCCGCGTGCTCGGGCAGTACTCTCAGCTCCCCGCAAGCGGGTAGCGCTCCGTCAGCCAGTCTCCAATGCTGCGGCAGACGCCCCCGTTCCAAGAAGGTGTTTCGAGCAGGAGCATACACTAGTGGTGCCCAGGCGGGTGCGTTGGGTTCGGGCGGTCGGCAGGAGGCGGCGGCGCGCTCGTAACTCAGCGTGGAGACATGCAACGCTTCGGGTGCCAGTTGCGAGTCGGCAGGACAACAACGCGGCACTTCCAGCGGCGCCAACTTGGCCCCGCCGGCCGCCGCGCACAACCAGCCCAGCACCACCAGCGACCGCGCCCACAGCATAGCTATGCGCCCTCACCGACTGCACTCGCTACTCATCATCTTTGTCAAACTGGTCGAACTTTAACTCACTTCCTTGTTGAATAAATCTTAACGAAATTTTTCACTTTGATACGATCAAATTCACTTTATATTTATTGGTATTGTAAATCACATCCGGCATTAATCGCGGTGTAAACATATCCTTCGAGGAATACGATGAAGCACGTGTGAAGCGAGCACGGGCGAGTGCGGCGCGTGCTCTCTCGGCGAGCGTCGGCAGTGAACTGTGCGGACTGTGCCTGACTGTACCGCAGGCCGCAGCATACGTCGCGGCGACGACGCGCGCCGCCGAATACTACCACCCACCACCACGGCCACGTCGTTGTTTACATTCGTTTCCAACTGCATACTGCAAACGTGCTCATTCACGAATCACTTTTGGGGCACTTAGCATTTCTTACGTCAGATCTAGCGCTTTCTTCCCTTATTTTAATTCCCTAATTATTCATGAAATTTTAATGCTTAATGAAAACTAAATTATAAAAGTTGATTACACACGACATAGGAATGAGCCACATGTTGATTGTTGAATATAATTAAAATAATATACAAAATAGTAATTCAAAAAATATTTTTAGTAGATTAAAGGTGACAAACGGGCACACAGTCCACCTGATGGTAGGTATACGGATACTGTGGCTCATGGACAACTAGATTCCTATCCCTAGATGTAGATGCGTTGTTAAACTTGATAATAGATAGAATGCCTCTTTATCAGTAAAAAGGATCTCCGGTTCTCTAGATGGTGCGGTTGCCAGAATGCTTGCCAAGTGTGCCAACTGCCAACTGCCAACTATGGCAGATACCACTTTCATGAGGCAATCTATGTGGAAGGTCATGTTCAGCTGGACTTTGGTAAGCTTTAATGATCGTGAATGGTTAGGTATTTATTTTTATTTTTAAAATTAAGTTATCTGTGTTATGTTGTACTCGTACATGTGAAATACATGTAATTCTTTTAACGATTCTATCAAAAATAAATACATTTTATAACGAAACTGAATAGGTACAGTTTAACTTTGGGATTCAAACACGAAAACAATTTTTCCAAAACTTTATGCCATTCTTACTCATTTTAAAAAAATCGTTTATATATATTTTTTATAATATTTTTTAGAAGTACTAGTATTGCACTAAATCATATAAAAATTGTTGCTATCGAAGATGTAGGATCGGGAGCTGCCCCAACATTCAAACGTCTTTTTTAATGTACAGTAAAGTAATGTTACAGCCTATATACGTCCCACTGTTGGGCACAGGCCTCCTCTCATTTCTGAGTGGGTTTTAGGGCAAGTAATAGTCCGCCGCGCTGTCCCAATGCGTGTTGGCGGACTTCACATGTCTTCGAAATATTTTTTCTTATTTCTCAGACATGCAGGTTTCCTCAAGATGTTTTCCTTCACCGCCGAGCACGTGGTAAATCAGCACTTAAAATTGCAATTAACAATTTCATTGGTGCCGGCGGGGATCGAACCCGGTTTGCTCGCGTATCGTGAAATTTACAGCGAGCGGTGACCATGTGAGCTACCACGGCTTTTTTAATGAACGAGGAAAAAATTCAATTCTTCACTCCAGTGCTGATTGTCAGTGTCTTCTCCAATGATCTTACGACTTCTTCACAGAAGAACTATAAGATTATATAAGAGCTATTAAATCATATAAGACGCGTTATCAACATTCTTTCTATTTTGAAAAGCGCTATATTATTAAGAACGACAATGTGCAGACGGGACTCTTAATTCCCATTAGTAACGAAATCAATTAATTAAAAAATAAAATACATAATATTTTTAATGACACTTATAAACTTGGGCTTCCGCCACGAGCGCCCGCTACCCCAAAAACCAACACATTGGCGACGTACGAACGGAATCTGTTCTCTTCTCTCCCAACTCTGCACAGCAGCTTTCTTCTGGACCATCACGGATTCACAGTCTGCGGAGCTGCTACAGTAGGTGATGGTAGACTTCACGTGACCTCGAAATATTTTTCGCAGACACGCAGGTTTCCTCATATCGTTTCTTTCACCGCAAAGCACGTGGTAAATCAGCACTTAAAATTATAATTATAATGTTAATTAGTGTCATTTTGCTTCGAGCAAGGGTTGCGCGTGTACTGTTAATTTTACAACAAGTGCTTCTTGTTGTAGTAGCTGTAAATTAGCACAAGTATACATTGTAAAGTAATATATCTCTACATAGTATAAAACAAATTCGCTTCCCGCCGCGCCGTTAGATTTGATGCGGCTTTCATCAATAGACAGAACAATTCAAGGGAAAGGTTTATACCTAGGTGGATTGAAAAGTACTCGGCCTAACACAGATCCATTCAATTCTAAAAATCAAATCTACCCACATTATTTACTTCAGTTCAGACTAGTTCATTGTGTGAAGTTCGAAACGTGTGCGATAATTAGTTGTGATTTTATAAATTTATTAACAAAGTAATCGGACATAATTTCCGCGAATGGAGCAAATCGAGCAGCGTGCCGTCATTAAGTACCTCCATAAGAAGGGGCTATCATCAAAAGCCATCCATGATGACATGGTCAGTACATGAGGCGATTGTGCTCTGTCATATTCATCCGTCAAAAAATGGATAGCAGAATTTAAGCGTGGTAGAGAGAGTGTGAAAGATGAACCCCGCTCTGGAAGGCCTTCGACGTCAACTACTGACGAAAATATTAAAAAAGTACTTGATTTAATAATGGGAGACCGCAGATTAAAAATTAGAGAGATAGCCGAGATTATAGGCATCTCTTATGAACGAACTCAAAACATCATTGTCAACGAGTTGGGTTTCCACAAGGTGTCTGCGAGGTGGGTTCCGCGACTGCTTTCAGTTGAACAAAAAAGGACGCGATTGACTATTTCACGCGACTGTTTGGAGTTATTTGAAACCGATGCAGATGATTTTTTGAATCGTTTTGTTACTATGGACGAAACATGGGTTCATTACTGTACACCGGAAACAAAACAACAATCAAAACAGTGGAGAAGACCTGGTTCACCACCCCCTAAAAAAGGCTAAGTCGATTTTGTCGGCAAATAAGGTGATGGCTTCAGTATTCTGGGACTCGAAAGGTGTGATTATGATTGATTATCTTGAAAGGGGTCAGACTATAAACTCTGATTACTACTGCACCTTACTACGTCGTTTACGAGAGGAAATAAAAGAAAAACGTCGAGGAATGCTCAGAAGAAAAGTCCTGTTTCATCAAGATAACGCCCGTCACACGTCACACGTCAGTACAGTCAATGGCTGAAATTCACAACTGTGGCTTTGAACTGTTACCGCATCCGCCGTATTCACCTGATCTGGCACCATCAGACTTCTTTCTGTTCCCTAACCTAAAAAAGCACTTGGGAGGTCAAAGATTTTCGACAAACGACGAGGTCAAAGCAGCTGTAGACGCATATTTTGACTCTAAGGAAGAATCATTTTTTTCAACGGTCTAAATGCTTGGAAGGGGAGGTGGCAAAAGTGTATTGAACTTGATGGTGATTATGTAGAAAAATAAAAATATAACTGATTTTGTATGTGTTTATTTTCTTGGTTAGGCCGAGTACTTTTCAATCCACCCTCGTATGTATAGTACATGCATAATACGTTGTCGTGATCCAAACCGGCCGGAAGCCGGGCGGGTCGCTAGTTTTTGTTATAAAACTGAATGACAAACGTACTTTTTTCAACCGACGAAAAGACAGAGGAGGTACTCAAGTCGACGCGTATATTTTTTTTATATATGATCGCGCGTAACTTTTTACAGAGTAGTCCGATTTTGATAATTCTTCTTTTATTGGATAGGGTATGCCTCGAAATTGGTCCCAAATAAATATGAAAAATAGTTTTTACCCTAGGGTGGGAAAGTAGGGGTGATTTATTACAGAGTAGTCCGATTTTGATAATTCTTTTTTTATAAAGATTTCTTAAATTTACGCGAACACTACACATTGAATAAAACTATTATTTACGAATTTTATCGCGTTTAATTACTTTAATTTATTTTTATTATTATCCCGACGTTTCGGGTGCTTTACAGCACCCATGGTCACGGGGGGGACTGAGATGTTTGACGTCCCAATGTCATAGTTAATTGGTCACACTGTGTATAGGAAAAAGACCCATACCAACCGATATCTAAATGGTGAATCTCACCATCATACTTCACAGTTAGCTACCGTGGGTAAATCTTTGTTTCAGAGAGCACGAGGGATCTGTGACAGAAAACATCTGGCCGCGGAGCTTCAGCACGTCAAGCAAGTATTGCAAGACAACAAGCTTCGGGTCCCGCACCTGCGTCACAGTGAACGAGTGAAGCCGGCCACTTTACTACCATATGTCAAAGGAGTCACGGACAAGATTGGCTACAACTTGAAGCGAGCGTCCATTAAGACATACTACATGCCGCTGAAGAAGATTAGTCAATTTTTACCATCCATCAAATGTAATATTCCTCTACAAGATGCAGGTGTTTACAAGCTAGATTGTGAATGTGGTCTCTCTTACATAGGTCAAACAAAGAGATCTATAAAAACCCGCGTGAAGGAACATATAGCTGATGTGAAGCACCGACGCTCCGGGAAGTCTGCAGTCTGCGAACGTGTTCAAGATCGTCCCCACCATTACATTAGATTTGATAAACCACAAATTCTCGCAAAAGAACACCGATTCCTACCAAGGATGATACGCGAGGCTATTGAAATTAAAAAACATCCAAATTTCAATAGAGAAGATGGTTGGGTACTACCATCTGCTTGGGATCCTACCTATAATTAACAAAATTAAACCCAAACATAAGCATACCACTGCAAGACTTCATGATACTATAAGCTCGTTTTGCGTAAATCGGACCAAAAATTAATATAAAAAAAAACTGAAGGTAGCCGGACTAACTATGACATTGGGACGTCAAACATCTGGGTGCTGTAAAGCTCCCGAAACGTCGGGATAATAATAAA